TTAGTCAAAGGCCTCAGCATGAGAGATAAGTTTGATAGATATTGAAAATGAGTTGAAAAGCCCAAATGGGAAAATTGGGCTATTTCTATCTGGATGATCTCTCTGAAATTAATTTTCCATTTTAGAAATTATAAGATAACAATTCCTTCTATCCACGAGGGGGTATATGTGTATGTGTGTGAGTGTGTTTGCATTAATGAGCTTGTTAACAATAAGTTATACAAAAGTATTAGTAGCAACCAAGTTTTAAGAATTATTGTCCTTTCTGAGGTTCCCAAGAAAACCTTGAATCCTTTTGGTAGGAAAAGTTGGGATTCACTCTACATGTTACTGGTGTTGAAAAATTAAGTCTACTTTGGTGATGATCCTAGTTATGCCCAAGCTCCCTTTACCGGGTTACGCAACCCATGTTTCACCTATGTACTGGGTTGTAAAATTTCTCTAGCAACTGAAGTTGCTTAACACAAATTATGGAGAGGTTAAACAAGGAAAAAATTGCAGAACAATTAAAAAACTCTTCCTTGGCATGCTAGTAGATGAGAATTCACCTTTCACTTTAACACCAATATGGAAAACTTTATCTTACAGCAAGGACATTGTGTTTGAATAGGAGTTAATTTGAGCTGTTATGGAAATTATCGTGTTTTCCATAAAGGCAGCATTGATTTCATCCATTAACATATGCTTTCCTGTTTGACATTGGTCACATAATTTAAAAGGAACAAGAACGTTACTGCACATTCAGGAATCAGGTACACATAGAAGTTAAGGTCAGGACCTTAAAGAGAATCTTGACCAATGATATCTGTCCTGCCTTTAAAAAGATTCAGATATAATAAACTTACTACCAATCAGTTTTTAGCAATAATAATATATTTATATTTTACTATAGATGCCTACTTTAAACTTGTAAACTATTTTTATATTTCAACATTTTTTTTCTTTGAGTCCTTTTAAGAGTTGTTAAATAATCCTGAAATTTCCCTGACAGTATACTATTAACTAATTATATTTTTTCAAAGTCATTTGACATAATGATTGATTAAAGGAAGCATCTCCAGTATAATTACACTTGCTTATAACAAAAGAGTATTTGAAACTAGAAGAAAAAAGGTTAGACAAATTTATAATGAAATATAAATAAATATGTATAATATATAAGGCATTATTAATAAGTATATATGAAAACAGTCATAGAATGAAAAAATATTAATGTAATTTTTTGAAGTAAAAATACATTCTGAATAAGAATAGAAAAGGACTTGGAAACTATTGGTTAATAATATTTTATACAAATATGAAAGTGTAAATATTAGCCTGACATTACTTATTTTGGAAAGGATATGAAAAAATGGGAATTTTCATACACTACTCCTAGAATTATAAATCTGTGCCATCATTTCGACCGAGTATGGCATTATCTGAGTAAGATTAAGGATAACATCCTAAGACCTAGTATTTACACTCTTATCAGAATTAATATCCATACACATACATATCACTGAGTTTCAGTAGCTAAAGTTGAGAAGTCCTTGGCATGTTTATCATTCCTCCAAATGGATAAACAAATTGCATCATACTTATACAATGGAATACTATACAGTGATCAAAATTAACAAACAAGACTCACAATTTACAACAGAATAATACAACAAAGGAAATGAACAAATTTGAGCTACATAGATAATAATACAGATATGAGAGGAATTATCAAGATGGAAAAATACATTTAGTATAATCTAATTTACATAAAGTTTGAAAAACATTAATTTTAATAGTTGTAATTTATTACATTGGTGATAAAACTCCACAGTGAAACATATGAGTGATCATCATAACAATTGGAATAGTCAGGAGGGAGGAAATTATCAGCAAGAAGACATATATTAGGATTATCTAGATTGCTGGCAAATTCTATTTTCTGACAAAGGTGTGGTAACATCGTTGTTAACGTTATAATTTTTTCTCTTTCTGTTTATTGGGTAGTATTACTCTCCATATGTATGTTATGCTCCACAATAAAAAATGTTAAAAAAGCAGAAACATAAAATACATTTCTAAGTGTAAAATTAGGGTGATACAGCATATTCTCATAGATACCATTGTAATTAGAGTTTTGCTGAATAAAGGAGAATAGAGCATTATGGTACTAAGAAATCCAAGTTAAAATTTAAAACTTTTCGTTTTTTATTTTGAGACAGGGTCTCACTCTGTTGCCCAGGCTGGAGTGCACAAGCAAAATCTTGGCTCAATGCAACCTTCGCCACCTGGGCTCAAGTGATTCTCCCACCTCAGCCTCCAGAGTAGCAAGGACAACAGGTGTGCACTACCACACCCTGTAGGGAGACCCCTGAAACTATTGCTATGGAATAAAAGATGAAATGCTCCTGATTATTGTAAATACAAAATTTCATGCAGGATTGTGTAAAGGCAATGCCAGGTTGGACTGCCAGAAGGAGCTAACAGGCATGTGATGTGCGTCCCCCTGCAGAGAGCCTACGAATGGGCGTACAGTCAGGGAGGTTTCACATCACCAAGATTCCTATCCCAGAAAAGCAGATGCGCATAGCTCTGGGAATGGAATGCAACCCTTGTGGAAAGCTTATAAACGGATGCATGGGGGGCGCCTGTCCATTTGAATAAGATACGGCTATAAACCCCTTCACCTTGCGCGGCTGTTCTAGTTCTCTTTAGGGTTAAGGCATTCTCCCTTCTGAGAATTTCTGGTCTAACCAGTTGTCTGACTTCACATCCTATTTCTATGAATTGTTTCTCACCAGCTTTTGCTGCAACTGTTACTGCTGATTAATAGCTTGCTAATCATAGATTATGGAAAGACTGTATTCCTGTTTTAAGGCTCTGTTAGCAATTAAACTTCACGTCCTGTTTCTATGAATTGTAACCAACTTTTGCTGTAACTTATTGCTGTTTCTGTTTTAACGCTCGCGGTGGCTCAAGCCTGTAATCCCAGCACTTTGGGAGGCTGAGACGGGTGGATCACGAGGTCAGGAGATCGAGACCTTCCTGGCTAACACGGTGAAACCCCATCTCTACTAAGAAATACAAAAAAAAAAAAAAAAAACTAGCCGGGCGAGGTGGCGGGCGCCTGTAGTCCCAGCTACTCGGGAGGCTGAGGCCGGAGAATGGCGTGAACCCGGGAGGCGGAGCTTGCAGTGAGCTGAGATCCGGCCACTGCACTCCAGCCTGGGCTACAGAGTGAGACTCCGTCTCAAAAAAAAAAAAAAAAAAAAAAAAGAAATTACTGATGCACACACTATGTTGTAAATTCTTATCACTGTATACCGTACTTCTGCATACAGATGTTATGTTAAAGAATTACTTCATCCCCATGTGACCTTCTCACCTCATAATCAAATGACACTGAATCCCTCACTAACCTACCCCCGCCCTCACTAAACTTAATAATAAATGCTAGCATATCCAGAACATTGTTGGCACTGCGGGACCAGAAGGCGGTGACCCCTCTGGACCCATCTTTCACTATCTTGTGTGTGTCTATTATTTCTCTACTTGACGATCCACCTGGGAACAGAGAGAGAGCCCCAATGCATTGCGGGCTGCTGGCCAGATCCCTCAATAACACCCTGCTAATTTTTTCTATTTTTTGCAGAGACAGGGTTTTGCCATGTTGCCCAGGCTGGGCTTGAAATCTTGTGCTCAGGCAATCCTCCTGCCTCAGCCTCCCAAACTGCTGGGATTACAGATGTGAGCCACCACACCTGGCCCAAAACTTTTCTTAAGTTAATTTAAAAAAAAGGAGACATAAGCAAGAACTGTAAATCCACCTTCTTAATGCTAATATGAATTTAAACGTCAAAATTTGAATATTTGTTATTGATAGACACTTTTTTCTTATTTACAATTAAATTACTTATGATACACATTTGAAAGTGTCAGAAATTCATGAATTTCCAATTAATTATCGTAAGATGGATATTAAATATATTAAATTAAATATATCCAAAATGTGTCTCGAAATGAAATATGTATATTCATATTGTTAGCATTCTAATTTCACAATACTATTCATGTGTACACCTGCGTGTTGGGTAAAATATCTTGTTACTATAAATTTTTTGGCTCTACGTTGAGAAAAAAATCATAGAAAGGCAAATTTGTTAGGGAATCAAACATATTAGCATGATCTTTGAGTATGTTTGTGCATGTATAATGCTACTTTGACTGCTATAGTAAAATAATCCAGATTTAGTCACCATAGCTAAGAATCCGAAAAAGCATTTGGAAGAATTTGGGTTGCTAATGATGCTATTAAAATATTTTAATACCATGCATGTGTACACGTGTGAAAAAATATTTTGATACTACACATTTTTTGAATATTAGAGAAAAATTCATAGAAAGATAATTTTGTTAAGGCTTATAACGTATGTAGTGTAACTACTTTGACTGCTTTAATAAAATCACCCAGATTTTGTGACTGTAACTGACAATGTAAATAAGGAGTTTTGAGTATTTAACTTGTTAGTGATGCTATTAAAAGGTGAAATGAAGCTTATACACTCTATAATTGCACAGAGTATTTGTGTCAGTTCATATGAAAGTAGAACAAAATTAAACAGCCAAAAAGAGATTATTCTTTACTAGAGGTCACTTTTGGCATAATTTTTAGAATGTGGTAAAAGAAAAGAAATAGCAAGTAAATCATTGGAAATATGTTGTTTCTATGTTATTCCTGATGAAATGCTATGTGAGGGTATTTGTCTAGGCCTGATTCTGGGAATAATATATGAATCATGCCAGGCAAAGTGGCTCATGCCTGTAATCCCAGCACTCTAGGAGGCCAAGGCTGGTGGATCACCTGAGGTCAGGAGTTCCAGACCAACCTTGCCAACATAGTGAAATTCCATCTCTACAAAAAATAAAAAAAAAAAAAAACTGCTGGGTGTGGTGGCAGCCACCTGTAATCCCAGCTACTAGGAGGCTGAGGCAGGAGAATTGTTTGAACCAGGGAGGCAGAGGTTGCAGTGGGCCGAGATTGTGCCATTGCACTCCAACCTGGGTGACAAGAGAGAAATTCTGTCTTAAAAAAAAAAAATGTGAATCTATGAGGAAGAATAATAGTGTTCTCCCACCACCATTAACTGTAGTGCTTTGAAAAGAAGACCAAAATCACATTTATTACATAACATTCTACCTTTTAGCTGACATCATCATCATTATTATCATCATCTACATTTACATCTATCTTATTAAATGATTTATTTCTGAAATATTTACACACATAATTTGGGTAAAGTCTATGTAATTTCTAAGAGACATCATTGTAAGAAAGTTATATTAGTAAACAATAAAGTCCAAGTCAGGCCGAATACATTTAGATTTAGAAAGTTAAGTGTAGTGTAGTTTAAAATACATTGCTTAAGGAAACAGTTACAGATTATATTAAACTAATCCAAGTAACATTACAAAAAGATTATTATTTTAGTATAAATAAAATTGCTTAATATGAAAAATAAATAAACCATTTCACAATCAAGCTCTTATTTATAAAGAGAGGATTTTAGGGCTAAATAAATCAAAGAGAAGTAATCCCTCCCCCACATCTTCTCTATTTCATTAGGTAATGATGGAGTTCAAAGGCAGAGAGCCCCATTTCTACAACATAAGCAAAGTGAAAATTAATTCACTGACTACAACAATGTAGCTGTGGTTGGTGAAATATATTTTATCTATTGCAATTATATTTTGAGATTGAGTGCTGCTCATTGAGTTTGCCTGTGAGCAGAATTTGTGGTGAGGACCCAGCAACAGACAAGCTAGTATCCAAAAAAAGCTACTCACATCAACTTAATTTCCAATTTCTTTCAAATTGAAGGTAAATTCCAGAACAACATTTCTATTCTATTCTCTGACCAAAGTGTTGGGAAACAAAGACAATTGTTACCATTTTCATTTCTAACATACTAAAACAAAACACAAAAAACCCCAAAAGTCAAAAGCACTTTTAAAAAGAACATGCTGTTAACAGTAGTTTGTTCAGTTTCCCCATAGAAAATGATTTATGGAAGGAGAATAAAAGATTATTCCGAACACTAAAAGAATAAGACTGAAAAAAATGAATTATCAATATTGAGAATCCAATAGACAGAGTTAACCAGTTAGATGCAGTAGAAGAGATAATAAGTGAATTGGAAGATAGCTACAAAGAATGAAGCACAGAGAGTGAAATGGCAATATACAAAGCTAGAGGGTAACACATTGATGCTACAGTCAGAACACCTAACATACTTCTGGAGTTCTGTAAGATAACAGGAGAGAAAATAGAGCAAGAGAAATGTTGCAAGGATTTTTCTAAAAGTGATAAAATGTATGCCTCCATTTATTTTTTGTAATCTCAAATGTCAGGCTTGATAACTAAAATCAAGGTAACAAAAAATAATACAGGACAGCAAAGACCAATAGAAAATCTGAAAAGTAGCTAGAGGTAGAAGATAATGTTGAAAAGAACTGCATTCTAAATACAACCTGATTTTAACAGAAAATATGGAAGCAGGAATTCAATGGAATCATGGGAATCGTGTCTTCAGTGTATTTCCAAAGAATAGTAGACCTTCAAAAACAGAATTTGAAAGTAATATTTGTCAGATAAAATAAAATTACTGAAAATACAAAGTTAAACAGGCAAGGAGCAATAAAAATTAATGACAATGAAAAATGTGTAATTCTAAATAAATATTGACTGAGTAAAACAATACTGTCTTCTTGGATTGAATGTATAATTGATAAGATATATGCAAATAGGAATAAGGAGACTGGAGATAAAAGTGACAGGAATAAATTTAGTCAAACTATGTTTTGGGCTTTTTTATGTCTGTAAGGAGAATGTGAACATCATAATCAAGGACCCTGTAATTGCACACCCAGGTATATTATATGCAAAAGAATTGTAGCAAATGATATGTGAAAGAATGCTCACTGTAGCATTATTCATAATAGCTCAGAAATAAGCTGCCCAAATATATATCAAATAAGGATGGATAAATAATTACAGTAAAATCATAAAATGAAAAATTATACAGAAGCAAAAAGAAATGGATCACATGTACATGCAACTATGGAGTTAAATTTCAGATACATAATATTGATTCCAGGAAGCCATGAATAAGAACATATAGGATAGCACCTACACACAGTTCAAAGCAGGACAAACCGAGCTATTGAGTTTAGGGTCATATTCCTTGTTAGTAAAGTATAAAGAAAATTTTAAAAAGATCATCATAAATTATGGATGTTGCTTATCACAGGAGATGTGAAGAAAGGTGTAGGGACTTGGAAAGTGGCATTGAGGTAAACTTAGGCTCTTAGCAATGTTCCATGTTTAGCCCTACATGATGGTTACATGAGTGTTTATGACACATTGCTATGTTTTCCTTTTGGCTAATTTCTAAGTGTGCAGTCTAGTTATAATATAAAAATTAATTAGAAGAAATGTTCCATGAAAATTATTATTACTCTGCTCATTATACACTGAAGGAAAAAATTCACTATTTGTATACATTTATGTATAACGCTAAGAAATTTTAAGTAGAAACTTTCTGATTTTAGTTACAACTTTCTGAAAGTTGACATGATGTTACCTGCCAACCGCAGATTTTTCAATAGGCTTTTCTTTTAGGCTTAATTATCCACTTCATGTGACAAAACTTTGACATTCTCAGTCTGTTTTTCCCTTGAATCCCGAATTCCTGACACAACAAGTGTGGACATGTTTCCCACACTCTTGGTTTAGCAGAATGCCTATATCAGTTACGTTTTTCTGCAAGAGAAAATCCTCCAAAACTGCTTTAGATGTTTGTACCTCACACGTCTTCGGATTTCATTTTTCTAAGCTAGGTTTGGTGGATGGCTCTGGTTACTGGAGATGGGTCATGGACTGCATCATGAAGCTAGTTCAGCTGATTTAGGCTAGAAAAGGCAGTGGCATTCTGACTCCATTAGTTTCTCATTCTTCTTCTGGGAACAGTGTACTAGCCAAATGATGTCCTAATGGTAAACGGAAAAGAGTGAGAAACTTCAGTATGGAAGCCGTCTTAAATCTCTGTGTAAAGTCTACTAATTTCCTGATGACTAAAGCAAATTACAGGAGGGAATGCGGAGTCCAAGGTCAAGGTAGTCACCCTGCCTGTGGTGGGAGGGTAGTGCAAGGTTATATGACAAAGTGTAGGGTACTTTGAAATATTTACAAAATTACTGAACATTTTAATTAAATAATTAATATTTAAACAAAACAGAGTTGAGTGTAATTATACCAAAGACCTAAGCATGAGAAATATGCTTGATAAATATTATTCATTGTCTGACAGCCATGAGTGGGAAAATAGGACTAATTCCACCTGGATGACCTCCTAGAAACTTGTTTTCCGTTTGGGGAATTATAAGAAAATAATTCTTTCCATCCCCTAAGGGTGTGAGTGTATGTGCGTCTATATGTTTATGAGTTTATTAATAATGGTGTCATATAAATTTATTGGTTATCAGAAACCAGATTTTAAGTTGTATTGGCCTCCCAGGGCTTTCCAAGATAACCTTAGATGATTTTGATAAAAGGTTTAGAATCTGGTATTTAAGTCTGGCATAAAAATAAATCCATATTGGTATGATCCTAGTTATGACCAAGCTCCTTTAATGATTTAGACATTTACTGTATGATATATGTATGTGGTTTTAAAATTTCCCTATGAAACAACTGAAGATGCTGCATACAAATTATGGAGAGGTTAAACAAGGCAAAAAATTGCAAAACAATGAAAAAGAATATGCCTTTATTTGCATACTGACACATGAAAATTCACTTTCCACTTCAACATCAGTATAAAAAATTCAGCATGTAGCAGGGACACATAGTATATTAAGAGGAGTGAATTTGAGCTGTTTTGAGAATAACAATATTTTCTATTTCTATAAAGACAGCTTTGAACTTATCCATTAGTATATGCTGGTGCTTTCCTGTTGACATTAGTCACAGAATTTAAAGGCCCAATGTTATTGCACAGTTAGTAATCAAGTATTTATTGAAGTTAAAGTCTGGATATTAAAGGAATCAGAACCAGTGTTATTAAGCCTGCAATTTTTTTGGTCTAACATCTAACATGATGTATTTTCTGTTCATCATTTTGTCAATTCTGTTAGTGTTTGCATTTGTTCTTGGAAATTTTGCCAGTGGCTTCATAGCTCTAGTAAATGTCATTGACTGGGTTAAGACACGAAAGATTTCCTTAGTTGACCAAATTCTCACTGCTCTCGTGATCTACAGAATTGGTTTACTCTGGGCCATATTATTATATTGGTATGCAACTATGTTTAATTCGGCTTTATGTAGTTCAGAAGTAAGAATTTTTGCTTCTAATATCTCGGCAATAATCAACCATTTCAGCATCTGGCTTGCTGCTAGCCTCAGCATATTTTATTTGCTCAAGATTGCCAATTTCTCCAACCTTATTTTTCTCCACCTACAGAAGAGAATTAAGAGTGTTGTTCGGGTGATGCTGTTGGGGCCCTTGGTATTTTTGATTTGTAATCTTGCTGTGGTAACCACGGATGAGGGTGTGTGGACAAAAGAATATGAAGGAAATGTGACTTGGAAGATCAAATTGAAGAATGCAATACACCTTTCAAACTTGACTATAAGCACGCTAGCAAACCTCATACCCTTCACTCTGACCCTAATATGTTTTCTGCTGTTAATCTATTCTCTGTGTAAACATCTCAAGAAGATACAGCTCCATGGCAAAGGATCTCAAGATCTCAGCACCAAGGTCCACATAAAATCTCTGCAAACTGTGATCTCCTTCCTCATGTTGTTTGCCATTTACTCTCTGTGTCTAATCAGTTTAACCTGGAGTCCTTGGAAACAGCAGAACAAACTTGTGTTTCTGCTTTGCCAAACTCTTGCAATCATGTATCCTTCATTCCACTCCTTCATCCTGATTATGGGAAATAGGAAACTAAAACAGACTTTTCTTTCAGTTTTGTGGCAGGTGACATGCTGAGTGAAAGGACAGAAACCCTCAACTCCATAGATTCACAAGGGGAGCATCATGTGTCTTCTAGCAGTAAACAAACTGACGGTGTGTGGAACATTTTATATTTCTATTGATTGTTCCATAGTGTATGTATTTGAGTAATTTCAAAAAAAATACCTAAAAAAGTCTTACATATATATATATGGGTGTATATGTGTGCATGTAGAAATAACAACATTGACCATAAATTATGAAGCTGAGTATATTTCACATATATATTGTATGTATATTTTATTATAGCTCATTGTATAATTTTCCTTTGAAGAAATTATTATCTCTATTTATAATTAGGAACTTACAGCTTTTATGAGGAAATTAATGCTGTTTTCCATTGTAATTTGTACCACATATATGTACTTAACTATCATTGGTGAACCCCTAATTTTTTGGATGGTAAAGACATGCAATTCTAAATCAATGATGAGAATGTATCTTTGGGGTAGGTTTTATTTCATTAGGAAATCTTATTTTATGTTTAGTAGAAAGCAAATTGTTAGCTAATGATGCACACAACAAAATTTGACTGAGAAACATATGTAGAGTAAGTTTTGTACATGTATACCAAAAACAGTACGGAGGAATACTAGATTTAATACCAGTATGTGAATAGCCTAGAATAAAAATAATTTTTGTAATAGGAGTGAAGAAACATGATGATGGTCATTTCAGTGCTGTTATAATTTTTTTATGTATAGTTAGAAAAGTCATTTCTTCCACTTTTTGAATTAAAGGATACCTTTTTTGAAGTTGACATCTGATGTAAAGTATTTCTGTTTATTCTTCTTAGCCACCTCTGAGCCCCTGAATTTCCAATTTTCTCCTTTATCCTCCATTCCTAATATTCCTCAAAAAAACTCAAATATTCTCTGTCTTATAAAGGCCCAACCAAAAGAGAGTATAGAAACTATAGATGATAATTGAATGAAACTTTCTTCAAATGTTAAATGTTAAACTTTCTCTAAATGTTAAAAATATATGAAATCTATATATTGATTATAGGAAATGTATTAATGATTTGTTTTATTATAATTGTTTAAATGGTGAAATAACACAAAGCGTGTTGACGTATCTATTGATACCAAGTACTATTATAAGAAGGAAATATACAGCCTTGTTGAACAACTAAATTCTGTGTGACTGTTAATTCTTGGTGTCATGACATTTTAACATTATTATGTAAAACTTAAAATAACTCCACATCTGAGATATATATCTATCTATATCTATATATATATATACACACACACACACACACACACATTTTGTTTACCATACATCTTCCCTAGTACAATATAATCACCATAAAAAGAGAGGTCATATCTGTCTTGCTTTCTCTTGACTCCCAGGACCAAAAAGCCAGCACAAATCAGATCCACATATATATGTATCAGATCCACATCTAATATGTGTGTGTATGTGTGTGTGTATATATATATATTTTTTGTATATCTATATATACACACACACATTTTGTTTATCACACATCTTTCCCTCAGGAGACATTCAAGGAAATCTGAGAAAGCACATGTTTGTGTATAATACAGTCCCCTCCTTGTGCCACTCAGATGTGCTGACGCCCTCCAATTGTGGCTGGATTTACAAGCATATGACTTGTGCAGTTCCATGGAATCTTGTGTTTGAGGGGCTTTTTGGTTGGATTAATGCTCTGTACTTGTATTTTTGCTTTTCAGACAGTGGATACTCCTCTGCTGAAGAGGGAATAGTTCTGCACTAATTCCCTAGGTATTTGCTTTCTCTTCTCCTACGGGCTTGATGGAGACATGCACAGAATCCTGTAATGCCCACAATGCATGCCTCTAGCAGCTTTGAATTCTGCTGGATCATCTGACACAATGGGTAGAGCAGGTTGGGCCAGAGCCTATATCTGCTGTAGAGATATCTCATGTTCTGGATTTCACTTGAAACCAGTAGTCTTTACATTCATTCTGTAACCCATCTCATTTTGTCAGAGGCTAGGTAGGTTAAGTGAATAGGGATATAAAAAGACTTTATTAACATGTCGGAGCCATATCATCTACTGTGGTGTTTGTGGACACCAAAACCCCAAGAGGCTCGAGAAACACTGTGCTTCTCTTTTAGTCGTAGGAAGTATATATAAGGCAACAGGCCACTTACTTTAAAAAGGATGTTTCTGTTGGTTATGGTGGCTCATGCCTGTAATCCCAGCACTTTGGGAGACCAAGGTGGGCAGATCACTTGGGGCCGTGAGTTTGAGATCAGTCTGGGCAGCATGGTGAAACCCCATCTTTACTTAAATTAAAAAAAAAGAAAATTGCCAGGCATGGTAGCAAAAGCCTGTAAACACAGTTACTCAGGAAGTTGAAGGATTTGAACTGATTGAACCCAGGAGGCGAAGGTTGCAGTGAGCCAAGATTGCTCCAGTGCATTCCAGCCTGGGTAACAGAGGGAGACTCTGTCTCAAAAATAAATAAATAAATAAATAAATGGATTTTTTGGCATGTGGACCAGGAATTTGGGACCCCTAAAAAAAATCTGTGTTTCAGATCTCTAAATATTGTCAGGTGTATCTCTCTTCTGGTGTTGTATTTCTATTTAATGTTCAAGTATTTTACTATAGGGAACGTTCCATTTCCTGGTTATTGCACCAATTACCGTAACATTATTAATAGAATAACATGATGTTTTGCAAAATGTAAATTAAAGTGAGAGCGGAAGTGACATCGCCTTGACATAAAACAGTGAAGCAGCGCGTTTATTCTTAACACACAGAGGCCAATTGTTATAATCTCCTGACCCACCCATGGGTGTAAAATAAGAAATATTCACTAAATCAAGAGCCACATGCAAACTGCCAGAAGCTCTGCTCTGCTCAGGGAAGATACCACATCCTAGAGAGCATTTGTAAATAGTGATTTAAATTTACGGAACTCTGACCTCATTTTATAATGTGTCTGATTTTGGTAGAGGTCAGTTAGGTTAGGCGGATAGGGATATAAAAAGACTACCATCCCCTGTGACAAACCTTTCAAGTGTTTTGTCACGGTAGTGATTAATTCCATACCTTGGAGAATGTGATTATTACTTTTCAATCATTGTTGCAGTGGAGAATTTCACAGGTTTCCCCTTGGTCTTGCTCTAATAATGTCCCTTACTGTACAGGTCAGGAAGAAAGTGAGAATCCTGCCAGCTGCCATGTGTGTCCATTTCAATTACACCTTCAGGAAGAGGTAATAATGGAAAACTGATTAGATGCCCCTTGGGATGGACATGAGCCAAAACTCTAAGTAGCATCTGACCTTCAAAAACTCCCAGTGCAGGGTGGGTATGATGACTCATGCCTGCAATTCCCACACTTTGGGAGACACAGTTGGGAATATCTCTTGATGCCAGGAGTTCCAGACCACCCTGGGCTACATGGTGAGAGCCTGTCTCTACAAAAACTGGAAAAAAAAAAAAAAAGGAAAGAAAAGAAAAAGAAAAAACAACAACAAAACTTATTTTGGCATGGTGGTGCTCACCTGTAGTCCCAGTTACCCAGGAGGCTGAGGCAGGAGACTTCCTTGAACTTATAACCAATATACAAGTCAGTTGCTGGCTGCATCCAGAGTCCAGTTAACAAGAGTGAGGCCTGGTACAAAAGTAATAAATTTATTCCAAACCTAGCTTGGGGAAGGGGCACGAGGAGTTCTGCCTTTAAGTGTACCACTTCACCTTTGGAGCAGAAAGCAGACACTTTTATAAGGTAAGGGGGGATACTGAGCAAGGGTAGAGGGTCCTCCTGCAAGCTTGGTGCCTTATCTACCATGCGGGGGGTCTGTCCTGCAGACCCTGACTCAATGACAGAGGAATAACATACACTGACACATATATTTGGCTTGTCAGCCCGGCCCAGCCTCCTGGCCACTTACAGACTCTCAGGAGAGTGCTGTCAGTCTTGGCCCAGACTTGCTGGCCTTTCTTGGCATTTGTTTAGCACACATTAAATGACAAAAGCTTTGAGTCAACACAATTAGAGGGTAATCACCCTGGTCACCTTTTCGCAGGAGAGCATATTGCCTGTGAGTGATGAAAGGTTAGTTTTAGGACTATCTCAGTAAACAAGCTCTTTAGATAAACTACTCTACATTCCTTTGTATCTGTGCCCTAAGTTCTCTGGCTCCTGCAAAGAGACTCTGGCTGCCTTCAGCCAAGCTATCTGAAGCTATGCAACAACTTCTTGGTCTTCCAAGAAGGTTTTTGTTTTATTTTATAATTTTCCCTACCATTCTGACTGAACCCCTACACTACCAGGTAGTTGAATTGGTGCTTTCTTTTGCAGAAATACATTACAAAAGTGGCCAAGTGGGTATGGTTTTCGTATGCCCTCCTGTTGGATGAAAGTCCTCAGGCAATTCCTGGAGTGGAGCAGAGCCTGGAATTTCCAGGTCCACGTCCTGGAGGTAAAAGTTCTGTGGTGGGTGTGCTTTGGTCTGCAAATTGACTGTCAATTCTCAGGGGAGATCTGTCTTGGAGCACATAGTTAGAGAAATGTGCCCTGCAGGGAATGTCCAGTGAGTGGGGGTGAAAGGTTACATTTGCATTTATGAAGGGCTAAGCAGGACACACAGAACAAAGGGAAGGAGGAAAGAAGAGAAGATAAAATAATAATAAAAAATAGTAACTCATACTCTTTTTCTTAGAAAAAAATGGGGCAATCTGTTACAAACCCAGTCTTTACTGAGTAAAATCATTACTCAAGGCTGTATTGAGTAATGATCATGCCACTGTACTACATACAGCCTGGGTGACGGATTGAGACTGAGTCTCTGAAAAAACCCAGATGCAAATAACACAAAAAACAAAAGAAAATTAAAAAGAAAATCTCCCACTCTATTTCATGGACCACAGTGTCTTTTGGGTACCCAGACATTAGTGTTAGTTCAGGCTCTGCTGGGGGGGCCAATATCTGGTTTACTGGTGGCAATTTCATATGAGTCTGCAGCAACCTCAAGTCTTGCCTCCTCAGAAGAAGGAATTCAACTGAGGGGCGTAAGTCAGAAGAGACTGAAGGAAGTTTCTGAGGAGGAATGGAAGTTTATTAAAAAGAGAGCAGGAAAGAAAGGAAATCACACTTGGAGGATACCACAGCGGGCACTTTCGAGGTCAAGTGCAGTGTTAGGCCTTTCGACTTGGGGTTTTATATGTTGGTATACCTCTGGGGTCTTGTGTTCCTTTTCCCACGATTCTTCCCTTAGGGTCTTTTGTTCCTTTTTCCATGAGTCAACCTCTTAGGGTGGGCTGCTCACATGCGTGGTGGCCTGCTAACACTGGAGAGGTGAGCATGCACAGTGTGTTTACCGGAGTTGTACACATGGTTGCCTGAGGCATTCTTCCTGTTTTTGGTGGAATGCCCACAGAAGGTCATATTCCACCATTTCTCTCTCAACACGCATGCCTCAGCCTACTCGCCCTGTTCCTGAGCTGCTGACTACCAATTTTAAGCATTTTTATTTATTGTGAAATTGTCTCTCCCTGGTGCCTGTGACCAATTATTATTTTTAGAGAGGCAGTGTGACAACAGCCAGGCCATCACCTGATGGTCGCCTGACATTCCTGGTGGGTGGTGAGAACCGTCTTCTGCCCCGCTCATGCCTGACTATCTACCTACTGTAAGAGCCCTATACCTAAAAGTCTCAGATGGTGTGGGTGTGCGTCCTTTCCCTGGGTACTGTTATCTGGGAAATGGCTACAGGTCTTTGAGGAAGCACCGTATGAATACACCCTGAATATCCCTGTAGTGAATTTTCAGCATCCTTTATTTAGGGGACTTAAGCTTCCCTTCAATTATTGAATTCTTGTTCTCGGAATTGGCTGTGTCCTGACAACTGGTTGAGGTTCTTTGATTTTCCACTTCAAAGGCTGACCTTAGGTATGAGCTTTTCAGCTCCGTTTTGCTCTTGGTTTATAAGTATTTATCAATTATGAAACTTCATCAACTACTGGCTTATGAACTCATTCCAATGAAGCTGGGTTTAAAATAATCCTTGTTTCACTATGATCACGATAGAAACACAATTTATGAGTAACCTTTTATTTCTAAAGAGAGTATTTTAGGACCAAATTTTCAAACAGAGGTAATATCTCAGATCTTCTGTTACATTTGAGTGAGTGATGATGGAGTTTGGAGGTTATATTTCTATAATGAAAACTGTATTTATGGGTGGGGAATAAATGGTGGAATTCCTTAGAAGCACCAGTTCAGTTTTGTTTCCATGGAACTTAAAGTCCTTCAATCTTTGATACACTTGTAAGTACTGTTTTAATTTTTGATATTTTAAAGATTATTTTAAACGAAGAAGTCTTGATTTCTGCTAATAGAAATAGAGTAAAATTTAAATCACAGAATAGAATGGTGGAGCTGTGGTTGAGATACTATATTTTATTAATTGTAATGGCATTTTCAGATCAAGTACTGCTCATTAAATTTCCCTGGGAGGAGAGTTTGTGGTGATGACCCAGCAACAGACAAGCTACTATCCAAAAAAAAAAAAAAAAAAAACCAAAAAAACAAAAAAACAAAAAACTACTAACATGAAATCAATTTCGAGTTTCTTCCAAGTTGCAGGAGAATGCCTAGACCATGATTTTAATCTCTTCTGTGACCTAAGTATTACAAAAAGTAGAAAATTGTTGCCATTTTCATGTCCGGTGTACTAAAAATTTATAAAACTATTTTTTTTGAGAATTTGTGTTAGGAATACTTTGTTTAGTTTCTCCATTAAAAAATGATTTATACAAGGAGAACAAAAGTTTATTTCTACCGCTAAAACAATGATAAAAAAAGAGTAATCAATATTGGGAGTCCAATTCTCAATTGTTAAATATTGATATTTAACAACCAGTTAAATGTAAGAGAAGAAATAATGAGTGAATTGGAAGAAAGCTTCCTAGAATGAAGCACAAAGAGACCAAGAGATACAAAATATAAGGCTAGAGGGTCAGAGACATTGAGCTCAGTCAGAATATGTAACATAGTTCTGCAGTTCTGGAAGATTAGAAGAGAGAAAATGGGGCAGAAGCAATGTGGAGATTTTTTAAAAAGTGACAAAAAGTATCAGTTCATATATTTTAGGAACCATCAAGCTTCAGACAAGGTAACTAAAACCAAATTGACATAAAATGACAGGACATCAAATACCAATAGAAAATCTGAAAAGTAACTAGAGGAAGAGATAGATTACATTAAAGGAAATAACTGTCTAAATGACAGTCTGATTTTCTTTTCTTTTTTTTTTTGAGACGGAGTCTCGCTCTGTAGCCCAGGCTGGAGTGCAGTGGCCGGATCTCAGCTCACTGCAAGCTCCGCCTCCCGGGTTCACGCCATTCTCCGGCCTCAGCCTCCCAAGTAGCTGGGACTACAGGCGCTGCCACCTCGCCTGGCTATTTTTTGTATTTCTTAGTAGAGACGGGGTTTCACCGTGTTAGCCAGGATGGTCTCGATCTCCTGACCTCGTGATCCGCCCATCTCGGCCTCCCAAAGTGCTGGGATTACAGGCTTGAGCCACCGCGCCCGGCCAACAGTCTGATTTTCAACAGACCAAAATCAAGCTAGAGTTCAATGGAATCATGTTTTCAGTGTTTTTCTAAAGTAGAATAGACCTTGATAAACAGAAACTTAAAATGATTTTTTTCAGATAATAGAAAAATTGTTATTTTTAATATTATTGTATGTAGAGTTGGAGTCTCACTCTGTTGTCCAGGCTGGAGTTCAGTGGTAGGATCATGGCTTACTGCAATCTGGAACTCCTGGACTCAAACCATCCTCCCACCTCAGCCTTGTGAGTAGCTTCACCATGCCTGGCTAACTTTTTCATTCATTGTAGAGGGAGTTTCGCTGTGTTGCACAGACTGGTCTTGAACTCCTGGGTGCTCCTGCCCCAGCCTTACAAAATATTGGGATTATGGGTGTGAGCGACCCTGCCTGGCCAGTAAAGGGACTTATTGAAAATATTAAGTTGGGGGGGGCGGAGCAAGATGGCCGAATAGGAACAGCTCCAGTCTCCAACTCTCAGCGCGAGCGACACAGAAGAACGATGATTTCTGCATTTTCAACTGAGGTACTGGGTTCATCTCACTGGGGAGTGCCGGAGGATCAGTGCTGGTCAGCTGCTGCAGCCCAACCAGCGAGAGCTGAAGCAGGGCGAGGCATTGCCTCACCTGGGAAGCGCAAGGGGGAAGGGAATCCCTTTTCCTAGCCAGGGGAACTGAGACACACAACACCTGGAAAATCGGGTAACTCCCACCCCAATACTGCGCTTTAAGCAAACAGGCACACCAGGAGATCATATCCCACACCTGGCCTGGAGGGTCCCACGCCCACGGAGCCTCCCTCATTGCTAGCACAGCAGTCTGTGATCTACCGGCAAGGCAGCAGCGAGGCTGGGGGAGGGGCGCCCGCCATTGCTGAGGCTTAAGTAGGTAAACAAAGCTGCTGGGAAGCTCCAACTGGGTGGAGCTCACAGCAGCTCAAGGAAACCTGCCTGTCTCTGTAGACTCCACCTCTGGGGACAGGGCACAGTAAACAATAACAAACACAGCAGAAGCCTCTGCAGACGCAAACGACTCTGTCTGACAGCTTTGAAGAGAGCAGTGGATCTCCCAACACGGAGGTTGAGATCTGAGAAGGGACAGACTCCCTGCTCAAGTGGGTCCCTGACCCCTGAGTAGCCTAACTGGGAGACATCCCCCACTAGGGGCAGTCTGACACCCCACACCTCACAGGGTGGAGTACACCCCTGAGAGGAAGCTTCCAAAGCAAGAATCAGACAGGTACACTCGCTGTTCAGAAATATTCTATCTTCTGCAGCCTCTGCTGCTGATACCCAGGCAAACAGGGTCTGGAGTGGACCTCAAGCAATCTCCAACAGACCTACAGCTGAGGGTCCTGACTGTTAGAAGGAAAACTATCAAGCAGGAAGGACACCTACACCAAAACCCCATCAGTACATCACCATCATCAAAGACCAGAGACAGATAAAACCACAAAGATGGGGAAAAAGCAGGCCAGAAAAGCTGGAAATTCAAAAAATAAGAGTGTATCTCCCCCGGCAAAGGAGCGCAGCTCATCGCCAGCAACGGATCAAAGCTGGACGGAGAATGACTTTGACGAGATGAGAGAAGAAGGCTTCAGTCCCTCAAATTTCTCAGAGCTAAAGGAGGAATTACGTACCCAGCATAAAGAAACTAAAAATCTTGAAAAAAAAGTGAAGAATTGATGGCTAGATTAATTAATGCAGAGAAGGTCATAAACGAAATGAAAGAGATGAAAACCATGACACGAGAAATACGTGACAAATGCACAAGCTTCAGTAACCGACTCGATGAACTGGAAGAAAGAGTATCAGCGATTGAGGATCAAATGAATGAAATGAAGCGAGAAGAGAAACCAAAAGAAAAAAGAAGAAAAAAAAAACGAACAAAGCCTGCAAGAAGTATGGGATTATGTAAAAAGACTAAATCTACGTCTGATTGGGGTGCCTGAAAGTGAGGGGGAAAATGGAACCAAGTTGGAAAACACTCTTCAGGATATCATCCAGGAGAACTTCCCCAACCTAGTAGGGCAGGCCAACATTCAAATCCAGGAAATACAGAGAACGCCACAAAGATACTCCTCGAGAAGAGCAACTCCAAGACACATAATTGCCAGATTCACCAAAGTTGAAATGAAGGAAAAAATCTTAAGGGCAGCCAGAGAGAAAGGTCGGGTTACCCACAAAGGGAAGCCCATCAGACTAACAGCAGATGTCTCGGCAGAAACTCTACAAGCCAGAAGAGAGTGGGGGCCAATATTCAACATTCTTAAAGAAAAGAATTTTCAACCCAGAATTTCATATCCAGCCAAACTAAGTTTCATAAGTGAAGGAGAAATAAAATCCTTTACAGATAAGCAAATGCTTAGACATTTTGTCACCACTAGGCCTGCCTTACAAGAGACCCTGAAGGAAGCACTAAACATGGAAAGGAACAACCGGTACCAGCCATTGCAAAAACATGCCAAAATGTAAAGACCATCGAGGCTAGGAAGAAACTGCATCAACTAACGAGCAAAATAACCAGTTAATATCATAATGGCAGGATCAAGTTCACACATAACAATCTTAACCTTAAATGTAAATGGACTAAATGCTCCAATTAAAAGACACAGACTGGCAAACTGGATAAAGAGTCAAGACCCATCAGTCTGCTGTATTCAGGAGACCCATCTCACACGCAGAGACATACATAGGTTCAAAATAAAGGGATGGAGGAAGATTTACCAAGCAAATGGAGAACAAAAAAAAGTGGGGGTTGCAATACTAGTCTCTGATAAAACAGACTTTAAACCATCAAAGATCAAAAGAGACAAAGAAGGCCATTACATAATGGTAAAGGGATCAATTCAACAGGAAGAGCTAACTATCCTAAATATATATGCACCCAATACAGGAGCACCCAGATTCATCAAGCAAGTCCTTAGAGACTTACAAAGAGACTTAGACTCCCATACAATAATAATGGGAGACTTCAACACTCCACTGTCAACATTAGACAGATCAACGAGACAGAAAGTTAACAAGGATATCCAGGAATTGAACTCATCTCTGCAGCAAGCAGACCTAATAGACATCTATAGAACTCTCCACCCCAAATCAACAGAATATACATTCTTCTCAGCACCACATCGTACTTACTCCAAAATCGACCACGTAATTGGAAGTAAAGCACTCCTCAGCAAATGTACAAGAACAGAAATTATAACAAACTGTCTCTCAGACCACAGTGCAATCAAACTAGAACTCAGGACTAAGAAACTCAATCAAAACCGCTCAACTACATGGAAACTGAACAACCTGCTCCTGAATGACTACTGGGTACATAACGAAATGAAGGCAGAAATAAAGATGTTCTTTGAAACCAATGAGAACAAAGATACAACATACCAGAATCTCTGGGACACATTTAAAGCAGTGTGTAGAGGGAAATTTATAGCACTAAATGCCCACAAGAGAAAGCAGGAAAGATCTAAAATTGACACTCTAACATCGCAATTAAAAGAACTAGAGAAGCAAGAGCAAACACATTCGAAAGCTAGCAGAAGGCAAGAAATAACTAAGATCAGAGCAGAACTGAAGGAGATAGAGACACAAACAACCCTCCAAAAAATGAATGAATCCAGGAGTTGGTTTTTTGAAAAGATCAACAAAATTGACAGACCACTAGCAAGACTAATAAAGAAGAAAAGAGAGAAGAATCAAATCGACGCAATTAAAAATGATAAAGGGGATATCACCACCGACCCCACAGAAATACAAACTACCATCAGAGAATACTATAAACACCTCTACGCAAATAAACTGGAAAATCTAGAAGAAATGGATAATTTCCTGGACACTTACACTCTTCCAAGACTAAACCAGGAAGAAGTTGAATCCCTGAATAGACCAATAGCAGGCTCTGAAATTGAGACAATAATTAATAGCCTACCAACCAAAAAAGTCCAGGACCAGATGGATTCACAGCTGAATTCTACCAGAGGTACAAGGA